CTGCAATCGAGAAACAGCCACACCCTATAGTCTATTCCCGTGCACCGCGTCCGGTGGAAATCTCGATGGCATCGAGTAGGATAGAGGCCCCAGCTGCGAGTGGAGCTTCGACCACCATCATCTCATGTATGAATCATTTGAGAATGTCCTTGAGGAGTTTAGTTTTTCACGTTTTTATCGCCAGGACATGGTAGTTCAAGGTGCACTCCGACCAGCAAAGGGGCAGCTACTGCTACCAGTTGGCCTATCATAAGCAATGTCATAATCACTCGTAATACAGTGTATGCCACCGAGCCTAATTTTTCCCATGGCTTACTATAATATTTATAAGCTACGTCCTTTGTTGTTTTCGAGACCACCATGGCAGACCCTTGTATCGCGACTCTTGTCCATGATCACCAGTTGTAAGCTGCACGTGCACTTACAACGCATGGCATATACAACACGTGTGATCAAGCTCATTGGCTAGCTTGGATTTTGAGCGAAAAATGGAGAATCAGGCCATAAGTTTCTCAGTTCAGAGTGGTAGCGCTAAACACTTCTCTTATCTATGTTGACTTATCTGCACGATTAGACGAAGTAAAGTAAATAAAAATAGATATCCGGCATTGTGGTTCACAACTTATGAGTCCCATCTTACTTGGCACACAATGCTCCCCAAGTCCCAAGAAGAAAAAAACTACTGATTTTCCTCAATTGTAATTAACCTTGGAGGGGAATTTCGGAGCTCAAGAGAAGACACATCGTGATCCCCAGAATATTTTCATGACGGAAAACATCACTCAGATATTTGCTTAGAACCCCTAACTGCATCTCGAACACCCTTCTTGTGGCTCATCAGGTAGGCGCTACCTCTGCGTTTCCTTCAACCTTATTGATGTGAAATCGAAACCCCTATGTTGGTAATTGGATTGATGTTCCGCCAAATATGGTAAATCAAAAGGCAGGGTAGCTTGAGACAGCCTTTAATGGAGACGGAGGAAGATCGACACTACTGCGTTTAAAGTGATCACAGGATTTTCCAAATCGTCAACCCAGGTACTTCGTGATGGGGCTCGATTTCGATTGGCCCGTCATTGAGGTCACCGATAAGAAAGTTATAGTCACGCGTAGGTTTGACGATCCCGAATATCAACAGGGAGAGTTGGGTCCGAGAGAAAAAAGAACCGAATGGTCCAAATTTGTAGGGTTAACACGTGCGCAAGTCAGTGAAGTATAAAGGTCTGCACACCAGACAACGCGAGCGGAATGTTGGCTCTGTTGTGTGCGTTGCAGTCGTCCCTCCCGAGGACACTCGTGATTCTGATTGGCGGTGCTATCACGGAAATCAGGTCACGGAACGAGTCAGAGCAGGGCTCAGCACGAACAAGAACGAGTAAGTAGGGTCAGCGCGCACATTCACGAATAGATACATTATAGCAATGTTGTGGAATGTAGGTAGCTCGGGTGCGCTGTTTGGTTGTTGGTCTGTTCGCCGAGCTTGGCAGTTGGATTGCGAACGTTTCATCATCAATCGAGGTGACATCGTCAGTGCACTGACGGAAGTGCACGGACCGGAAGTCCGTGCTGTGGTGTTGGAGACCATGAACCAACTACCCG